GCTAATTTTTACTATTTGCAACGGTTTTTGTACAAAAAACCATCGCTAATCAACTAACAAGGAAAAATAAAACCATTACTAAGGATTAGCGATGGTTTTTAAAAACCGTCGCTAATCTTTCTTTTTTTGTGACGTTTTTTTTCCAAAAAAACCATCGTAAATCAACTTACCATTCAAAAAGAAAATTGTAATAAGGATTAGTGAAGGTTTCTAAAAATCGTCGCTAATCTTTTTTTTTTTTTTTGCGATGGTTTTTTCCAAAAAACCTTCGCAACTCGCTTAAAAAAATTGATTCCAAAACTACGAAAATTAGCGACAGCTTTTAAACTGTCATTAATTTTTTGGCCATTTTGCAAGGGTTTTTCTATAATTGTCGCAAAATTCAATCATATTTGACCATTTTAGTGACGGTTTTGAAACCGTCACCAAATGTTTCAAATTTGACCATTTTTCCCTTAATCGTCACAAATTTTTGTGTATTAGAGATAGTTTATAGACCGTTGCTAATTTTTCGTCGCTAATTCGTTTAATTTTGACAGTGAATATGGGTATTTCAGATTGATAGGTTTTCCAAGGATAATAATAAACTATGTTACTACCTTTTTTTTTTTTTTTTTTTATAAAGGTTAGGGCAAAAACAACGTTTATCACATTTTCTGATGGCTTCAAAAAAATCGCTTAGGAAAAAAAAAACATAGGCATGCATGACTTCAAAAATAAATAAATAAACAAGTACAAAACCTTGCTCTAGCAGTGGAAATTGCAATTGCTAGGGTTTAAGAATCAGACCCAAAAACCCTAAAATTATCAGTTAGGGAAAGGAAGAAACAAATAAGCAAACCTAAATCCCTCGGATGGATTCGAAAAAGAAGAAAGAAGAAGATACCAAAAAATCAGAAATATTTGCATCCTGCTCTTTCTCTGCTCTCGGCCTACACTCCACTCTCTGCAATCAACTCCAAGGTCCCTCTGTGTTTAGTATTAGTATTTTCAATTTCATTTGATTTTTTTTTAAAATTATTTAGTGACTGATTAATCATCGAATATATTTTTGTGAAAAAAAAACACAGAAAGATTGGGTTTTGAAGCTCCAACTTTAGTACAAGCTCAAGCTATTCCTGTTATTCTCTCCGGCCGTCATGCGTATCCTTCTCTATCTTTTTTTTAATCTTTCAATAGTCACTTCAATTACTGTTTCTCGTTTTAATTCAATGTATTTTTGTTTATACTTAACTGAAATTAAAATTATAGACTTGTTAATGCGGCTACTGGTACTGGAAAAACTGTTGCGTATTTAGCTCCGATTATTCACCATTTGCAGAGTTACACTCCGAAAATTGACCGTGATAATGGAACTTTTGGTATGTGATCTGGGTTTTTATTTTTATTTTTATTTGAGGTTAAGAATAAATGTGGGTTCGTTGAATTGTTTATATTTTTGTTGCTAATGAATGTGGTTATGATTGAATTTGATGTGGATGGTGACAGCGTTGGTTCTTGTACCAACGCGGGAGTTGTGCTTGCAGGTATATGAGATTCTGCAGAAACTTTTGCATCGGTTTCATTGGATTGTGCCGGGCTATATAATGGGTGGTGAAAACAGATCTAAAGAGAAAGCTCGGTTGCGGAAAGGTAGGAAATTTGCTTTGGTTCTGTTATCTTTATTATTGGGTCTCAATATTGTCATTACAACTTGTTCCTTTCTAAAAGGGATGGAAGTTATTGCATCCTAGCAATCTTAATCAGATGTGTTTCTACTCAATGATATTTGATTGAATTAGGCTGGAGTACTCATCTGTCCCTGTTGGTTTCATTTGCCCAACAGCATATCTTTGAAATGGTTTCGATTTAATGAAGCCATCGTTTTAAACTTTTGGTTGACCTACAAATGCTAACACAGGTGCTCTTCTAAGCTGGATAGGGTTTTAAATACTTGATATGTTTCTTTTCAGGTATATCTATTCTTGTTGCAACTCCTGGTCGCCTGTTGGATCACTTAAAGAACACAGCATCATTTGTTCACACAAACCTGCGCTGGATTATCTTTGATGAAGCGGACAGGTATCTTTTGCAAAATAAGGTGGAGTTACTTTTTTTGACATATTGCATCAACCATGACATCTTTAACTCTGGTTGAGCATCTTGACAGAATTTTGGAATTAGGATTTGGCAAGGAAATAGAGGATATACTGGATCTCTTGGGGTCTAGGCAGATTGGGTCTGTTGGCAAGGGAAATCAAGTTTCAAGCCTCCCTATTTTTCAGAGACAAAATCTGCTATTATCAGCCACCTTAAATGAAAAAGTAAATCATCTTGCTAAAATTAGTCTAGAAAATCCAGTTACAATTGGTCTTGATGACAAGAAAATACAGCCAGAACAATCAGTAGATTGTATTGGAACTGTGGAATCTGATGAAGACGATGGACTAGAATATAGAAAAGTAACAACCTCTTCAACTGGAGATTATAAGCTTCCAGCTCAGTTGGTTCAGAGATATGTTAAAGGTACGTGTTCATTAAAGCATATTTGTGAGCCTTTCTAGCTGTATGCTTCATTTTGGAGCCCTGATTGAATTTCCATGTAGTGCCCTGTGGTTCACGACTTGCAGTTCTTTTTTCCATTATCAAGCATCTGTTTGAGAGAGAAGCTTCTCGAAAGGTAAGACTGCTTTCCTAATTTATACTCTTGAGTTATTTATTATTTTGCTTTTGAGCTCTCTACATAGAGGTATTTGGAGTTTGCACATATTGATATTGTTTTAATTTTTTTCTGTCACCATCACTGCAAGATTATCACAGTCTAATATGGGTCCTGACTTAATATGAAAACCCCAATATAGTGAATTGTAGTTGAACTGAAGCGAAAATAGATGACCAGTGCAATTTTCCGTAAAGCTAGCTTGGTTGATGAGGTCCAAATCCTAAGGAAACCAGTTTGGATTTTGGTTATTACTGACTATTATCATCTGACCTCTGGTTGAGATATGTAAATTCTTCACTGCTCACTTATTTTGGATCTTATGTTCACTGCCCTTTATCCCAAGGCTAAGAAATAGTTTTGTTCCTCTGTAATATTTATTTATTTATTTTTTAAGAATAATCCTAAATTCAAGCAATATCAAATTTTGAATACTTTCTTAAACCCAAATGAATACTTCTTGCCTTCATGGTTACTCCGTGCTTGAGATCATACTTGCTGCTCTGTTTACTTAGTTAATTTCTCACAGTCGTTACTGGCTTATTCAGCCTCAACTTGTCAAGATGACTCCCATACCTATTTTACAGATTGTGGTGTTCTTTTCGACATGTGATGCAGTTGATTTTCACTATGCCCTCTTAAGTGAATTCCGCTGGTCACCCAACTCACAATCAGAAGCAGAAAATACAGAGAGGTTCTTGAAATGTAACATTCTTCGGTTGCATGGGAGTATGAAGCAGGAAGATAGAAGGACCACATTTCAAGCCTTCAAAACTGAGAAATCAGCTCTTCTTTTGTCCACAGATGTTGCTGCTAGAGGCTTGGATTTTCCGAAAGTTAGATGTATCATTCAGTACGATTCTCCTGGAGAGGCAACTGAATACGTTCACAGGTTTTGTAGCGACTTCTTTCTGTTTTGGTTCCTTTCTTATGTTCTTTGTCACACTTTATCTCTCTTTTTTAAAACAACAAAACATTGGCTAAATGGTTCATTGGAGCTTGATTTCACCAATAATTTTTGGTGCAGGGTTGGTCGAACAGCTCGGTTGGGTGAAAAAGGAGACTCATTGCTATTTCTGCAACCAATTGAAGTTGATTATCTACAAGACTTGGAGAAACATGGTGTATCACTGACAGAGTATCCCATCCTCAAAGTGTTGGGTAGTTTCCCATTATATGGTCAGGTGTACCGTGCCAAAAAGTTTGCTTCTTTAGATTTGCATCCTTGGGTTCTATATTTGCAGAGGGCACTTGAGTCGTTTATCTTGGCTGAGGTATGACTTTCCAATATTATGTTATCTAGTTTTGAGTTGTATTGCATGCAATCCTTGAGATTCTTTTTTGGTGACACTGGGCTTTATCTTCTATCAGCTCTTTTGGTTGTATTATATCAAAGTTGTTCAGATCTTTTTTCAATAATTGCATCTGGCATCAGTATATTTGCCTATTATCTCTACTTTTGCTGCACCCGTAAGCCTGAGTTTCTTCTTAGGTACTTCATAGTTAATGTTGCTTTTCATTTCTTTCTTCAGCCAAGTATGAATAAACTGGCTCAGAACGCGTTTTGCTCTTGGGTCCGTGCATACACAGCCCATCGTGGTGAGCTGAAAAGAATTTTTATGGTGAAGAAGCTTCATTTGGGGCATGTTTCCAGAAGCTTTGGACTGAAGCAGCAACCGTCGTTGGTTGGACAATCATTCCAAACTCAATCGAAGAAGAGGAAGAGGGAAGGGAAGCAAAAGGGACTATCAAGAAAGAGAAAGGCCAACCGTAAAACGTGAGCCTAAAATATGAAGAACATTTTGAAATTCTGGGGGTGTTGCTAATCGTAGGGATGCCTATTAGAATTGATGCGCTGCTTTTCATGGTTTTTGAACTTGTAGTTCGCCACTGGGCATTGAACTGTAACTTACGGCGTATAGGCTAATCATGTTTTCTTGACTCTCAAAATCAAAAAAGGATAAGTTAGCTGTGGCTCGAGGTTTTGTACTGAATGTTCATCAATTACAGATCTAATACATACAAGTTATTGTTTTTAAGTTTCTGATTGCAGACAATTTACACGTTTCAGTTTTCTTCTTATACGTTGTTTACTGTACTCAACTCCAACTTAAGGCCTAACCCAATGGCAAACAAGTTCAAGTTCAAGTTCATTCATACCATGACAAGGTTGTAAAAACGCAAGATTCCCTCGAAACCATAACCATGCCCAAATAGAAAAACTCAAAATCAAAAATTCCGTGCAAGATTTCCCTCCTTGTATTACTGGACTCGTGTGTTTTGTTAGGCCGACCATGCAGACATGTATTTCTATCAACAAATTTCTCGCAAACTTTCAAGTCTAGCAGCACACTCACATTTGATCAATTCCAATATCGTAACTTTAGTTCAGCGAGGACAGTGCGTAGATGCCTTGCAATCCTACTCTAGAAATCCACTAAACGCTACCAAATACCAATACCCTTCTCTCCTCAAGGCCTGTGCTTTCCTTTCAAACCTTCAATATGGAAAAACAATTCATTCTACAATAATCACCAAAGGCTTCTTATACTCAGATCCTTATATCACTACCTCACTTATTGATATGTATTTTAAATGTGGGTCATTTGGGGATGCAGTTAATGTGTTTGATAAATTGCCTGACAGTGAAGTTTCCGTCCAAGATGTAACCTTTTGGAATTCTACACTCGATGGGTACTTCCGGTTTGGACATATAAAGGAAGGTATAGCTCATTTTTGTAGAATGCAATTATTTGGTGTTAGGCCTGATGCCTACTCATTGTGTATTCTACTTGGTGCGTCTGGTGGACATTTGGGATATGCCAAGCAAATTCATGGTTATAGTGCTAGAAACGTGTTTTATTGTGACCCTTATTTGGATAGTGCACTAATTGATATTTACTTCAGTTGTGGTAGAGCTATGGATGCGTGGTGTTTGTTCAAATATTTGGAAGACAAGGGCAATGTTGTAGCATGGAATGTGATGATTGGAGGATTTGGTGAGAATGGCTTGTGGGAAAATAGCTTGGAAGTATATTTCTTAGCAAAGAATGAAAATGTCAAATTTGTTTCAGCATCCTTTACTAGTACTCTAAGTGTTTGTTGTCAAGGTGAATTTGTTAGTTTTGGCAGGCAGGTTCATTGTGATGTGGTTAAGCTGGGTTTTGTGGATGACCCTTATGTTTGTACTTCTCTTTTGACTATGTATTCCAAGTGTAAATTGGTTGAAGATGCTGAAAATGTTTTTCATCACGTTTCTGAGAAAAAGACTGAATTATGGAATGCAATGATCTCAGCATATGTTGGTAATGGATGCGCTTATGATGGTTTGAAAACTTACAGACAGATGAAGTTGCTTAAAATTCTACCTGATTCTCTTACAGTGACAAATATTTTATCATCTTGCAGTTTGGTTGGTTCATATGATTTTGGTAGGCTTATTCATACAGAGTTAGAAAAAAGACCTATTCAAAGTAATGTTGCTTTACAAAGTGCTCTGTTGACCATGTACTTGAAATGCAGTAGTTGTGATGATGCTAATTCAATTTTTAACACAATAAAGAAAAGGGATGTAGTTGCATGGGGCTCCATGATATCAGGTTTTTGCCAAAGGAGGAAATACAAGGAGGCTTTGGAGTTTTACAACTCAATGATGGTATATGGGGAGAAACCAGATTCGGATATTATGGCAAGCATTGTGAGCGCTTGTACAGGACTAGAGAATGCCAATCTGGGTTGCACAGTCCATGGATTTGCTATTAAAAGTGGGGTGGAACAGGATGTTTTTGTTGCAAGTTCTCTGGTTGATATGTACTCCAAATGCAATTTCCCAAAGATGGCTGGAAATGTATTTTCCGATATGCCGCTTAAGAACCTTGTGGCTTGGAATTCTATAATATCTTGCTATTGCAGGAACGGTCTCCCAGACTTGTCCATTAGTCTTTTTTCTCAAATTGCACAGTATGGCTTGTCTCCAGATTCTGTCTCCATTACAAGTGTCCTTGTTGCTGTTTCGTTGGTTGCAGCACTGCTTAAAGGAAAGGCAGTGCATGGGTATCTGATAAGACTCAGGATTCCATCTGACCTTCAACTAGAGAATGCGCTAATTGATATGTATATCAAGTGTGGATTCTTGAAATATGCACATCATATCTTTAAAAACATGGCTCAAAAAAAGTTGGTTACCTGGAATTCAATGATTGCCGGTTATGGATTACATGGGGATTGCTTGAAAGCAATAAGATTATTTGATGAGATGAGAAGTTATGGAATCGCACCTGATCATGTAACTTTTATTTCTCTTCTGACATCTTGTAACCATTGTGGTTTTGTTGAGGAAGGGCTAAAAATGTTTCGATTGATGACAGTGGAGCATGGGATTGAACCAAGATTGGAGCATTATGTAAATATTGTTGACCTCTTGGGCCGTGCAGGACGCCTGGATGATGCTTATGCTTTTGTGAAAAACTTGTCCATTGAACCTGACAGGAGTATCTGGCTATCCTTGTTATGCTCATGCAGAGTGCATCGTAATCTTGAGCTTGGGGAGGTGGCAGCTCATAAGCTATTGGAGATTGAACCAAGTAGGGGCAGCAATTATGTTCAACTTCTGAATCTTTATGGAGAAACTGAATTGCAGGAAAGGGCTGCAAACTTGCGGGCATCAATGAAAGAAAAGGGCTTGAAGAAGAGTCCTGGATGCAGTTGGATTGAAGTTGGGAATAGCATTTATGTTTTCTTCTCTGGAGATAGCTCATCTCCAAGAACAATAAAGATCTATGACACGTTGAATAGTCTTAGGAGGAACATGCGAAAGAAAGGAGGTCATTATGGAAGTTTTGAGGCCTTGTAAGAATGGCATGCTATTGATCTTCTCCCCGATGCGTGACAGTAAAGGACGAGTTGTTCAAATTTCATTTCAAGACCAAGAGGCAAATTAAAAGCTAAGCAGATGTAGCTCTAGAGATATCCTGGGAAGCCACTGAGTACTTCACCTACACCTAACATGTGAAATGGATGCTTAAGGATGTTGTGCTCAGTTTGGGAAGTCCGAAGTTCTGCCTTGCATTTAACAACTGAAGGGTCATCGTTTATGTATCAATTCAAGGTCATGCTTGGTGCTCAGGGCACAGGGTACTGGTTGTCTTGAAGAACTTTTCCTTACAAAAGATGCTGAGAATAAAGGAAAGATCAAAAGGGCCATAAACAAGAACAGTTAAAAGAGGATGTCTGGCATCTGAATTCTGAACTAATCAAATGGATGTAGTTTGATAAATTAATTGCGTTTACTCAAGAGACGAGATCACTCCATTTGAACCCAAAGAATCAAGAAAAGCTCAATCAACCATGATGATTGTGATTCTATGGATGATATTAACACTTAATCTTTGCTGGAAACTTCAAATTATTAACTTCCATAAGCTACATGTGCTGATTTGAGTAATGAAGCAGCCATGTTGGCAGGGTAGATTAGATGTGATCAGAAGCAACTACGTTGGCCAGGTTGATCTGGTCGGCAGCTTTCACCACTTGAACAAGCACACGGAGGACCAGGCGACTGGTGCAAATTATAGCATTGTTTTTTCATTTTGCTCTTATTTGTCACGGTAATTGTATGACAGGGAGTGATTATGGCATATCAGTATGTGCCAATGGCAACTAATAAAGGCTATCAAAATTATAGTTTCATTGAGTTTGGGAGACAAATGGATTCCGTTTATTGAATAAGAATTTCATTCTGGATGCAATGCAAACGGAACTGCAGGATAGCTGATAAAGAAGCAGCATGGGCGTGGTTCAAAGAGCGAAGTTCACAAGAAGAACCTGAGGATTAGAAACCAATAATTTCATTGTGAGTGATGACCTAAACGTTCTGGTGGCAATGATTAAGGAGAAGATTAGTTCAAGGTCTCAAGATCCAGTCCTGTCACTAGCTTCTCAGTAAGGTTGCTTATTTACGTCCGATTAGCAATTTATCACTACTGGTTGAGGTAACTAAGCTTGGGCGCAACAAATTTTATATTTTATATTTTCAAATGCTATGCCTAGACTAGAAATATTTACTAATAACAACAACAACCAGGAGTAACAATTTCCAAACTAAAGCTTCTACCCAAACCCAATTGCGTATTGGTTCGGATTAGAACATTGATGTACTGAACAGAAGACCATCCTGCCTGCATCTAGCAACGTCAACGAGGACATTCTCGTTTGGTCAATTATTGGAGTCAGATTGCAGCGCAAAAGGAAAGCTTGCGATGTTCTGATTTAGCATTTGCAATGACGAAAACAACATGCGCAACATAAATCAAGAGGAGTTCAGAGTTATGACTAACATCGTCAACTTCACATATGAGTCTTTTTGATCCATTTCAAAATCTAAGTGTCAACCGTGAAAGTGGAATCCTCTTATCTATTTCCTCCACCAGAAAAAAAAATCAAAAACCAGAATTTTAGGAGCTCAGCAAAAACAAAACAAAACGCAAGATAAATTCGCTTGACTCCATGCACCCAAAGACACACAAACACAAATAGTACTCATGTTTTGAGTAGCAATAATCAACATCCAAACAACAGAAAACATTTCCATTGCTTTTCCAATCACGTGCATTACATCTTTTAAGTATGTTTACAAGCCCTGTGAATTTGCTAAGTCAAAATAAAAGCTGCTGCAGAAACTAATATACCCTACATACATTGCAAAGCTTTCTAGCAGACAACAGTCATATCCAAAGGAGAAACAAAACAGAACCAATAATATGTTGCAGAAAAGAATGATATGACAAATCAAATATGTTGGCAGATAGTAGCAGATACAACTCATGGCGACTAGGATCCATACTATTTTCATTTGAAAACCAGTCACCGGTACAAAAATTTACAGAACTTGATTTTTCATCCTTGCCTCTTCATGTTATCTGTCCCTGAACTAAATCCCAGAGGAGGGCGTCCGATTTATCCTTTGTGCACCCAACTTTGGAGCGGCAGGTTTACCTCGGCCTCTACCAGCCACCAGTGGTTTGGCCCTTGTAGTAGGTGGGGGAGCAGCAATGGCAGCCCAGGGGTCATCGTCATCAAGTGCTGTAGCTGTTTTGGCGTTCAAAGGCCTAGTAGTGGTTTTTGGAGCAGGGGCAGCTATAGAACCCCATAAATCATCATCTTCATCTTTTGCCACCTTCACTGTACTTTTTGGTCGCAAACTTGTAGCTGAGGAAGGAGGGGTAAAATTACTAATTAAAGAGACTTGCTGAATGCCTCACCAGGGGAACAGATGGCAAGGATATGCACCTAATATTGAACTATGATTATGTGCATGATGATATCACCTTGTGCTTTCGGCTGTGAAACTGGCTGTGAGACAGGCCGCTTTTGAGCTGCTTGAATGCTTGCAAGAGCTGGAGAAGGCTTTGGTTCTTCAAGAGGTTCAATATCATCCCACCCATCTTTGTCACTGCCCTGCTCTTCATGAATTCCATTTTCAATTTCTCCCCAGCCATCTGTAGAAGTTGGGGACTCCGGTACAGGTTGATCAGCCAAGTCTGTGATGGAATTTACCCGGGCTGGTGCTGTACTTGGAGTGTCCATCACTACAATTGCAATACAAACCATCATCAGGTATTGAGTTGTTAGATAAATGCATCATAATAAAAGCAGGCATAAGCAATGATACAGCAAGCATTGTTGAATCGACAGTACATGTGACCAACTAATATCAGTGTGCAGTTCACACAGCATGATTGGCAAGCCCTCAGAAACCACAATGACCATTAAGATACTTGACGATAGGTCAATAGAAGCTCTCCTTCATTTAAACCCATATAAAAAAGTAAAACAAGCAATCGAGATGCATACCAGAGCTGGCATTAGAAGTTGTGGCAGATAGAGGAAGGCCAGAATTTGCTGGAGTAAGTGGAGCTTGTTCCGAAGGTTTACCTTTGATAGTCAAGGAGCTCATGGCCCATCTGAATGGTAAAAAATGGCTTCAGATATTCAATACAAAATTCAAGGAGCAAAAATGTAGAAAAGACTGCCAAGGAGAAATGAGTGTTGAAAACAAAAACATGACAAAAATATCGTTAATGGTTTAGCATTACTTTATGCACAATATTATATGCCCTTAGTTAGACCCTCCAAACAGAGATACATTGGTCAAGAAGAATAAAGAGGGCGTTTAGGAGTCCTGCAGCCATTGTAATTGGTGCAATGCAACTTAAAAGCATCTGAACACACAATTTTGATCGTGTGAAATGCCACATAATAATATTTGCCACTAATATGAAATAGAAAAAGATCATTCAACCAGGTTATGCTTCACAACTTGATGCAGGACATCTCAGGGGCTGTTCTGGAGCTGAGTTTGGAGCCTGTTTAGGGTTGTGTTGGGTTGTTTTAGAGTGGATTTCTACTTGGAATTGTAGAACTATTAGAGTCACACTAATAGGGTTTCAAGGTGTCACACATAGAGGATAGAAAAACCTAAGCTTCACACCTAGGGTTCTTAGGAGTCACACCTAAGGAAGATTGAGTCACACAATCAAAAACAAATTACTGGGAATTTATTCATAAGCCGTCATTCTTAATATTGAAAAGCTACATACTTATATATAGAGTTCTATTAGTCCAAATCCAATAAGGACATAGATTTCTAAATAAGAAAATACTAAGTCCATGTAGAATAGGAAAAACCTAATAAAGCTAATTACTCCTTAGGACACATAAAAGACTAAATAGAAAATAAAACCTAGATTTAGACAAATTTCCGGTTTTTCCAGAAATTATAGAAATAACCTTGTCTACAAAAAGACACAAATTTTGCTTCCTTTGTTGTCCGCATCACAACTGCTGTCAAAGGAATCCGATTGACACACAAAGATTAAAACTATAGGATATGAGATTACAGAGAAATTCTAATCTGAACCTCTAGGGGGAAAAAAAAAAGCGGGAGAAGAGATTATAAGGAAAACACAACACACATGCTTCCAGAATATATAAACTCCTAGAAATGATAATCCATGCAAAAACCACATACTCAATTTGACCGGCTACATCAGTGTTTAAATCCCAGCTATTGAAGGACCAGGGTCAAGTAAGTGCATTTCAAAGTGACAAAAATTCAAATTTGACTTACCCAAGTAAGCTAGCATTTCCTGGTATTGATGAGATTCCTGTGCTTCCAGCTGCTGTATCTCCAACATTTGTCTACAAATGACCAAAGGGAAAAAATCAGTATAACCCAATCCTTTGAAATTAAAATCAACACCATCTTGCTGGAAGCAAACTGGATTATGGACACCTCTAAATTATGACAGGATATCTCATGGAGAGAGTGAAGGAGGAATAGTAGAATGAAGGATGTAGACACAAAACTCTACTAAAGCCTTTGGACTTCTGTAACCAACATGATTAAAATGCAATTTCCAAGGAACTGTTATAATAAGAATTCCATACAAATTGACATTTAGTTGTTACTGCAGCAAGCGGAAACTAAGACATGTACATGACAATCAAAAAGCTTTTCTCATTTGATATCATAAGCTTGTCCAAGCCAATCATACTAACAAACAGATAGTTGTATATAATAAGGTGCTTTGCCTGGGTGAAGTATGGGGAGGAGAGGGCTAGACTGAGTGGGTTAGCAATTATGTACTATCAAGGCCATTTTAAGCTTGTGAATGATCAGTGAACCACAGCAAATATTTCAAACTAGATACCATTTGTAATTAGTGCTTGCAAGCACTGACTGAGGAAAGCAGCAGATATAAGCTGTCTGGTCTAATATCCTTTATAATGCATGTGCAATTGGTATTTAGTAACCTCTTCAAATTTTGTGCCCATATTGAAAACAGAAAGCAC